CTGTATATGTATATATATATAATATATATATATACTATATATAATATATATTTAATATATATAATGTATAGCGCAAGCTCGGTGGTCTAGTGGATAAGACATCAGGCTATTTATCTGGAGATTGTAGGTTCGATTTCCACTCGAATCATGCCAATTTTTTTCGCATTTGGGGACGTACTGTGTATTCGGTAAGATAACACGTCAGGTAGGGAAAAACGTCACTCCTATGATAACAATGATTATATGGTGCTGTTAAAATAAGGAGCTTATTATCAATGTCTGATTTTTTTTTTCAGGTAGGCTGTTTAATTTATCTTGAATGGTATGAACATCAGTTTCAAAAGTGAAGAAAAATAAATGCTATGATCGTCTGACTGTGAACGATTTAGGTCCGTTTTTTCATATAGTAACATAAACAATAACAGTTATGTATAATAACAATGTCATTAATTCTCATTTTCAGAGAGATGCGAGAAGATAGTGAAGCTCGCCCGAAAGTACAACATATTAGTACTCTGTGATGACGTATACAACAGTCTGTGCTTTGAGAAGAAAGGTGACGCTTTCAAGAGGGCGCCAGCTAGACTATTAAAATACGATGTGAAATCTGACGGAGATTACTTTGGCAATGTTGTATCGAACGGCAGCTTTTCAAAATTACTAGGCCCCGGACTTCGACTCGGTTGGATTGAAGCGCCAAAAGTTGTGCTCAGCAAGCTCATGATAAAGTAAGTTACTGACGATCACTCAATTTGACACTGTTGCAGTGATATGTGCAAGATTAGGACGTCTTTTCCCTTTGTATGAACACATTTTAACACTAAGACTGAAATTGCTTTAAAAAAAAAAAGGGGGGGTGAAGGCTGAGGTAAAATATCAAATTTTTTTTTTTTTTTTTTTTTTTTTTTTTTTTTTTTTTTTTTTTTAATAGAAAACCCAACAAATCTTAGCTGTAGTTTATGTGCAGCAGATGTGAGTACGTACGGTAATGCCCTCTATACAGTACAGTAATAATTATATTGCTGTACAATAATAATGTTCTATCTAAAACTTGAGCATGGAATCGGCGGAAAATAAGAACACTGGTTCTTATAACAAAAAGTGTATTAAAAACAACATTTTACGATAATATCCACTATTACAAAATTACTATACGCTACTACTACTGCTTCTGTTTCCACAACTGCTACTATGGAGGCTACTATGTATTGTCTTGCGAACAAAACTTTAATTAAATGTCGGGGTTTTTTCAGTGGCTGTTTAATTAGCGGAGGTTCTATGAACCACTATACATCTGGAATCGTTGGAAGTTCATTAAATACAGACTTGTTCAAAGCCTACCTGTCGACTGTCAGAAACACGGGAAAGGTAAGTTTTTCATCATTTTTGTCACCATTATCCTCAGCATCATCATGACATATTCACAATCATCATCATCATTTAGTCTTGTTACTTGTTACTTACTTGTTACTTGTATAGCGCTCTTTTCAGTTACGAAGCACTGTAAGCGACTCTCCACAATAAGTCAAAAACATTCCCCCTGAGTAAAGCTTGCATAGAACCAAATCCATGCTAAGTGAGCTAACTTAACTAATGCAATAAAGCAGTAGAAAAATAAGGAAATAAACAAAACAATAAACAAATACGATCGAGCAAGGTGAGATAATTGTCGCAGTGGTTAAAAAACAGGAGAATCGGCCAAAGCAAGATCGTTCACATTCAACCATCTATCCATGTATACGTTGTTCGGAAAAGAAATGTAAAAACAAAACTGGAAATGTGGCCAAGAACTTTTAGTTAAAAGTCTTTGATGTAACATTTTTATCCGTTTTTATAAGGTTGTGTCTTATTTTGTTTTTATTAACTGTACGTAGGCCTACTTCTTATGCCACGTCTCTTGTCTTGTAAAATTCTTAATTTTTTTTTAAATTAATACTTTGTTTTCTTTCTGTTAAGAGGAAACTAGATTCCGTCTTAGATGTTCTTCACAAACATTGTCCAACAAATGTGAAATACTCAGTACCAAAGGTAGGTTTTCCTGTTTAATAAGTAGTGTAATCTGGCCTTTCCGCTAAGCCCTGGCCACGCTGCGGCGCGCCGGCCCTGGAATATTGTTGCTTATTAATAACGCCGGGCCTTGGAACCTTTGCAGTACTCGGCTATGTAACGCAAAGTTTTATATAAATGAACAGACGAATGGTAAAATCGGTTTATTTCGATGAAGGTCTCTATAAAAGCAGACGATTTTTTATGCCTTGAACTTATTGATGTATACAGTAATTACTGAGCTTTCTGAGATTTTTCTCTCTCCACTTTTTCAGGGTGGATACTTCATTTGGATAGAGTTACCAAGTTATGTTGATGCTGAAAAGCTGAACGAGATTTGTTATGACACACACCGTGTTTCATTCCAGCTCGGGCATTTGTAAGTATGATTTCGCTCTCTTTGCGTAGAATTTATCATACTGTAAATGATGACTTCAAGTTAGTTTGATAAGATTTGATAAATACACAAAAACATAAATAAGTGTCTAAATCAAAGGGATCGAGATGTGAATACACCGAACCATCTAATAATCATTGTCCCTAGTCTGAAACAAGAAAACATAAAACTTACAATATTATGGCTGAATGTCTTTTTGTGTTTACACTCGTTATATTTTTTAATGTTCCAGTCCTAAAATTTAGTTTCTTTAAATAAAAATCAGAAGCAAATGAATTTAGAATTTAATATCATATGTCTTATTACCGACATATTTTTTTGTAATTACTGGTGCATTATATAACTGCTATTAGGTCTATGTTATTAGGCTTATTATATAATAGAAAGAAATACTACCTCGTAAATGTTTTTTTAATCATTGTCATTAAAAATATTTCTGAATATTATTTACAGGTGCTCCACGGCAGGAAACTTTAAGAATTGTCTTCGTATTTGCTTTATGTACTACTCAACTCAGGAACTTTGCAAAGCTACAAAAATGTTACTTAGTACAATTGAATTACAACTGGAGAAGGCATCAGATATTAAGCTTTATGGGGCATTGAAATAAAGGCTATCTCAGGCTTGGAGAGTTGTCTGCACCACTCCAAATTACTAATGACGTCCACTGATTCTCAATAGGCCTAGCTTCTGTGATTACGCGAACCACATATCTATGCACGAGCCTTTAGTGACTCAACATTGAACATAAATAAGAATTTAACATCAAAGGTGACCCCTAAATTGTAAAAAGCAATGGCGCCTTAGCCTATCTAATTTGATAGAGCAACCGAAGAGTGATTTGATAATCTTGGTTTCGAATCCCGATTAAAAGTCAGATTATTATAATCTTAATGAGCGATGGAAAAGTTTCTATATACCTAGTTAATAATATATTTATTTATTCATTATTTATTGCTTATTCATTATTTATAGACTTGCATTTAGAAGAGGTGTGTCAGTGTCTTTGAGAGAAACTCCAAACTGAATGGTACTTAGGAGAGTCTTTAGCTTGAATTTTGATAGCAACAATCCGTTATTATAAAATGTTTGGATGGATGTGGATATTTTTATGTGTGTTATTTTATGTTTTATATTTCACATAAATATTGGCCGTAGATCTCACTTATACATTTATATTATGGCACCATAATCTGTGGTGGCGCCAGCGTGGGGGTCAAGACCCCATCGGCCAAAGCTCGTCGGGCAGTCGGACCAAAAACAAAAAATAGGCCTAGTTTTCCCATCCCAGCCATTTACGACCTTCTAAAAGTCCCAATTTTTTTTTATCTTGTTTTGGGAGGAGGGCATACCCCCTCCCATACTCACCCCCGGCTCGAGCCTTTTGCCCTCAAATAACGCTGTGCACTATAGTTACACCCATAAATACTTAGCCCCCCCCCCCCCCCCCCAGTCGGACATCTTAGCCCCCACATAAATTATATCCTGAGCCGCCACTGACCACAATCACAAGTCCTTCATAAGCTCCATAATTTTGGATTATACGGCCCTTTCTTGAACTGGATTAGTTCTTTTCTGCATGACCGGACACAGCAAATTCTACCTATGGTCAGGTCTCAGAACGGATAGGGTGTTGTTAGGGTGTACCCGAAGGCTAGGTTTTAGATCCACATCTATTCAATACATTCATCTTTGATCTTCCCTTGGCACCGTAGTTTTTAAATATATTAAATGAGTCAAGGATTGACCTATAACAGATTGGTGTAAAAATAACAAAATAAAACTAAAATGCTACAATGCAAATAAATTTACATCAACCGTAAACGAAATATTATATAATTATTGTTGAGAATATACATTCTACTGAGCTTTAATCCGTTTCATCACACAAATACCTTGGCGTTCACCTCGCTAATGAGTTTTCCTGGTTAAACCATGATATCATCAGTTAAATCTCTACAGATTCTTGGTTTTACTAAGCGCTTTGTAGCACATAATGATCCTGAAATCTTCCTGTGATTATTTAACGATATATTTATGTTGTTATGGGCACCAAACCAAAACAGCATATAACTTCTATAAATAAACTATTACGTAGAATTACCTAACTTTGTGTTAAGGGAGATTTTGAACCACTATGGATCAGAGAATGAAATATCTTATTCTTAGCATTCTTTATATCTTTAAGTTTATTCATGGACATATTGATTTTAATATACATGATTTTATTGATTTTATGTACCCCGATTTAATGGAAAAGCTACTGTATTAAACCTACAATTTTTTATTACTTTATAGTCATTATAGTTGGTTATTATTTGATTCATTAGTGACATAATCCATTCCTTCATAATTTTTGTATTACTATATGTAATTGGAATACACCTGTCTCAATAGTGGTTGTGTGTAGGCAAATACAGGATAGTCGAAAGCACTCGCTAGTTTTCAAATACATTTTGTGGCATATATCTAATACTATTTGACTCGTTATTTACTATATATATATATATATATATATATATATCGTGATTCTGTTGTTTATAATCAAATAAGATATAATAAGTACTGTAGTCAATTGTTCAATAATTAGGCTCAATGGTAACACAATGCTGTTAATACATACCACATAATTCATTAATAAAATGAATGCTATATGCTTAAGCCGGAAAACCATATTATTGTGACCCATGGAGAAAAATAAAAATGAGCAATTTCCGTCAGTGTGATCCAGGAGAAGCTAAGAAGCTAACCCAGTCCAGGAGTTCCTTCATCAGCCGAACCAAGTATATTATTGGATGCTGGAAGGCTGCCTTTGGGATGCGACTCTCATCAGTGGGAGGAACAGAACAGAAATGAACTGAACTTGATTGGTTTTAAATACATATAGTACATGTTTTTGAGAAAGCATCAGACTCGTCAGTAATTAGCAACTACTATTAACTACCAGAAAGCTGGTAACATTAAGTAGTGGATTAGGCCTATGTAAAGTAAAATATATAAGTATGTCTTTGATGTTTGTTGGGGATCCGCTTCACGAGCGGATCACCTCTTGTTATTGTCAGAGATCATCATTGGTGATCTGCTTCACAAGCGTATCACCTCTTGTTATTGTCAGAGATCACCATTGGTGATCCGCTTCACGAGCGGATCACCCTTGTTATTGTCAGAGATCATCATCTTTTTTTTTAAATTCTACGTTTCTCCCCATATCTTAATTGTTAGCATGATATCTCAAAAATTGACACGTACATGCACGCTTCAACAAACATTTAGCTTGGTCTGGAATAGTCACAATAAGGTTTTCAAAGTGCGCAATTATATGCGTGACGTCATCTACGCGTAATTTTGCGTTTTTATATTATCGATCATATCAGCCTAACCAATAGCCATTTCGAAATCGTATTAAGTGAGCATTAACTTCAAGTCAATGTTAAATATAATGTACCCTAATTTAACGCGTGCGAGTCATAACGCGCGCGTAAGCGTGCTTCAAAATGCTCGGAATCACTTTGACTAAATTACAGCACGTTTCAGTCCATTTTGAGTATTTCAAAATATTTTTTAATTTTCCACTACGAACGTACGGAAGCTAGACATTACGTTTTTACACATAGTTTGGGTTCCTGACATTGTTTTCACAATTTTCCATTCTTTTCAGTCATCTTATGGTCAATAGCAATGCCCTACTTACGCATCAAACATAGTGATCTTTGCGCGCGTTTGTGCCGATATACAGTGAAATTAATTATGCTAAAATCAGGCATATTTATAAACAACTCCTTAGGATGAAAGGTGAAGATGTGTATAAGAGACAGGTTATGTTGATGTTGAAAAGCTGAACGAGATTTGTTATGACACACACCGTGTTTCATTCCAGCTCGGGCATTTGTAAGTATGATTTCGCTCTCTTTGCGTAGAATTTATCATACTGTAAATGATGACTTCAAGTTAGTTTGATAAGATTTGATAAATACACAAAAACATAAATAAGTGTCTAAATCAAAGGGATCGAGATGTGAATACACCGAACCATCTAATAATCATTGTCCCTAGTCTGAAACAAGAAAACATAAAACTTACAATATTATGGCTGAATGTCTTTTTGTGTTTACACTCGTTATATTTTTTAATGTTCCAGTCCTAAAATTTAGTTTCTTTAAATAAAAATCAGAAGCAAATGAATTTAGAATTTAATATCATATGTCTTATTACCGACATATTTTTTTGTAATTACTGGTGCATTATATAACTGCTATTAGGTCTATGTTATTAGGCTTATTATATAATAGAAAGAAATACCTCGTAAATGTTTTTTTAATCATTGTCATTAAAAATATTTCTGAATATTATTTACAGGTGCTCCACGAGGATGAAAGGTGCCCCCCCCCCCCCTCACGACCATTTTTATTACATATTCTGAAAGCACATAAGTTGTAAAATGATTTTATAGATCATAATGGCTGATCGGACATTGTGACGTCATCATATTGCCATCTGAATTCAAAGAAAGTTAATTTTAGCTATGACGTCATTTTTGAAAATACGCATTTGAGCATATCTCGCTTATCCTTGATCGATCGTTTTCCAACTTTGAGTATATTATAGCTGAGACAATTCTCTTTCATATATATGACTTCTTTTTACATTTTGATGACGTCATTATAGGAAAAATGTTTTTTCTGACCCCCTCATCTTTCTTTCCTCAAAACGTTGATGAGCCCATATCATCTTAACCATTCGTCATTTCTGAATCATATTAAGTGAGCATAATCTTCATGTCAAGGTTGAATGTCAGGTACCTTAATTTTCACGTACACGTGCATCAAAATTTATATATGCTTAAAACCATGAATATTTAAATCAGTTATTGCTCCTTAGGATGAAAGGTAACCCCCAATTTTTATTACATATTATGAAAGCACATGAGTTGTAGATATGATTTTACAAATCATAATGGCTGATCGGACATTGTGACGTCATCATATTGCCATTTCAATTAGGGAAAAACTGAATTTTTATTTATGACGTCATTATTTTTATACGCGTTTGAACGTATCTCGCTTATTCTTGATTGATCGTCTCCCACCTGTGAGTATGTTATAGCTGAGACAATTCTCTCTGAAAGTCTCCCTTTATTTTTCATTTTGATGACGTCATCATGGTAAAAAATAATGAATTTTTGGAGCCTTCTCATCTCTCTTTAAATTTATCAATATTATCATTGACGATATCAGACTGTATCAGATTGATATACAGTATAGTACATTGTGAAGGGAAAATTTGTGTGACATTACCAACCAACAAGTGTTTTTAAGTTACTCTTGACAAGGATCAACTTCTTGTGCCATTACTGTCCACGAGCACGTCGTGATGTGCGTGTACAGTAGAATTAGGAAATTCTCAATATCACTTTTCATATAAAGGGCGGCAGACTGTATTTCGACGCTATCAGACAGATAGAAGGTCAATTTATTGCGCCATTACCGTCCATGAGCACGTTGTGACGTGCGTGTACGGTAAAATTTTGAAAATCTCTCAATATCACTTTTCAGATAATTTAAATCACGTTTCAGGTCATTTTCATCATCTCAAAAATGTCCATAATTTACGCACCGTACGCTCATTTCCATGCCCACTGCACGTACTGAAGCTGGGAATTAGGCTTACGTTTTGTTACATGTTTTGGGTTCCTGACACTGTATTCATATCAGGGGGCCACATTTATCAAACTAGAATTCAGCTTAAATTCGTCTTAAGTACATTTTTTTGCTTAAGTCAAATTTATCAATATTGCTTAGCTTGAAAATTTCTTAAAGTTAGAAAGATTGTACGTGGGCACCATCTAAAACGATTTTTAAGCCAAGATTTTGCTAAGATTGGGTAATAAATCAGATTAAGATATTTATAAGGATCTTAACTTTTTTGACTTAAGACATTTACAAAGCTGAGATTGATAAATCCCGGGCCACGAATAAACTTTTTGTGCCATTAACATGTGCACAGGCGTCAAGACGTCCGCGTATGCACGCGTAAATCTTTCCGAATGTTTAATATTACACTTTTTTAAAAATTAACTAGAGCATATTTTAGGCCATTTTGAGCATTTAAAAACATTTCAACCCGCATCGCTTGCGCTTCCTGAGGGTCAAAGTTCGGCGGATCACCAAACCCCTCCTCAGTGACGAGTTCATATCTAGTTGTTTGTTATTA